TGCGAGTTTGACACCCTCGGTGTAAATAGTTCGAATTTTTATTTATTTCCCCCCTATTTTTATATTATGATTTGTTAATGATGTGAAATACTTTCGCGTAAGCTTAAAAATTTTATCTGATGTCGATGAATTATCACTATTTTAGTAAAGCATGAAATATACACCATTTTTGTCCATAAAATAGTATACCGACTGCATTTTTTATGAAATGAAGACAAGGTCATCTAACACATAGAATATATTATGCATATTTTTTAGTTTCTATAAACGTTACATTCCCGAAAATTGAATCTTTTCAGGTCCGACTATTTTAAGTACTACAGCAGCTACGAATGGATCGAGTGGAACTACTGTAACAGCTGCCGGATTGCCTGCTGTGAGTAGCAGTCTTTCCCAAACTGTTTACCCGGGGATTTTGCCGACGAATTATACTGCAGTAAGTAGGAATATGTATTATTAATGGGATATATTTTTGTGCAATTTTTTCTCCGGAATTAATCGTTTTTCCTTATGTTATTATGTGCTAGGGTATGCTATAAAACAAATGCTATACTTTAATTAAAATGCATACAATTAAATGACTTATTGCCCTTGTATAATAAAGTATTCTGTAATTATGTGAAATATATTATCGCTATTCTATGATCGAGAATGAAAACTTTAAGGCTCCTCTCAAATCTTTTAAATTTTAATTTCTATGTATTTATATTTTTCTTTATTACAATTTTAAAAAAAATTTCCTGGCCGCAATATAAACTTGCAATGTAATAACATTGAAAATGTATTATTTTTGGAAACTAATTCAATGAAAAATTACATGTAACAGATCTTATGATTCATAAATTATTAAATAGTTAAAAGTCATTTTGAGGTTTTATGTAAAATTTAATCGATTTTTTAAGTTTTTACTATTACGCCGGCTGGGTGGCGTGGTTGATTTGTCGCTGGCCTTCTGCACCCAAGGTTGCAGGTTCTACCCAAGTCGGTGGATTTTCATGATGCAGAAAATCGACAGCGGCCGAGTCGTGTGATTATACGGCATGTAAAAGATCCCTAGAGTGTCTGTTTGGCTTGTGGGTGCTCTAGGCGAAATTAAATCCTTTTACATGTTCGCATCGTCAGAGCTCAAGTGCCGCCCTCTAGGGAAGAAACTGGGCGTCAAAATTACCTGCGGCGATTGGTATCCGCCTATATGGTGCCGCACCAAAAAGAGATACCAGCTTTCGGGGAATGTACTAGGTCTACAATGGAAAAACTCCAATCGGCAGCCTATTAGAAATATAAGAAAATTGTTTACTATTATTTTTAAAATAAATATTTATAAGAATAATTATCAGTCCCCACAAATCAAATTTTTTTTATTATTATTACTGATCTTTGAATAAAGATATAACTTTAAATCAGCGTATATTACTTAACCAAGATAGCTGTAATAATTCTCGTTTAAATATTTGTATTCGCATAATTGAAAACTAAAACCTAAATCTAGAGAATTTAATTTTCAACTTTTGATATTAATTATAGATATATCAATTTTCAAGTATGTAATGGAGTATATTTTGTATAAGTGTGTAATTAAGTATATGTACAATGGCATCCAAAAACTAAGGTATGATTAGTGTTTTGACACTCGCACGTCATTAAAATAATGAAAATAAAAATAAATAATATGGTTTGTTTTTATGAATGAACATGTCTAATACTCATCACTATATATATATATATATATATATATATAAAAGAGTTGGATATTTTAAATAGCAGTTGGAGAAAACTGCAAATGTTCCACATATGTAAATTGCATGGATTTTTTTTTTTTTTTTTATGTTTATTTTTTAATTGATACTAAAATTTTGCTGGCTATATTTAGAAGATGTTATTTACCCGATTTGAGCGTTGAGTATTCAGATGAAAATTGGGTTATCACCTGCTCTTGCCGATAGTTGTCGCAATATATCCCGTACTGTGAACCAAAGACCCTGAAATCTCTATTTGAATAAGAAAATTCAGTATCAAAAAGACCTGTTCTTCCTTATACAGTAAGGGTTACAGTCCGTACGGAAGATCACTTTGTAGCTAGCCCAAAAGAGAAGGAACACTACTTTGCTTCAGTTCATGCTACCTCAACAAGGACGATAATGTGTTACTACCAGTGGCGTAGTTACCAGTGGGCTAGGTGGTGCTGTGCCCCGGGGCCCTCAAGCTCAGGGGGCCCTCGGATTCTGACACCAAGCAAGCTGCGATATTTTCTCCCACATTTAAAATATAAATATAAACGGTTGCAACACAACTATAATCACACTGCCGTTGAAGACCCGCAGCTCAGAGGGGGCCGATGCACGTTAAATATGTCGAGGCTCAAACGTCCTCCCGTTGGTGTGGTGTGGAAGTTAGGAGAGGGGAGGTGCTAGCTCAGGTGTCTTCCTCGTCACTTGACCATAGTTCAAAATTACGTGGTCCGTCGCCAAAAGCCCTCGTGTAGCTAAACAGTGCGACGTTAATATTGAATCAATCAACGGACCTCGTAATTTTGAACCATGGTCAAACTACAAATAGGTGACTCGGAATTGGTTACGGTAAATATTATGGAAAACACCGAGAAGATAGGAAGTGTTAATTCTTTGGAAACTGTGAAGGTCAGTATAAAAATTCCACCTTTTTGGATAGATAAGCTGGAAATTTAGTTTTACCAGATAGTTGTACAGTTTAAAGTTAATGGTGTAAATAATGAAGGTACCAAATTTAACTACATTGTCTCAGTAATTGAACCTAAATATATCGACACTATTTGGGATTGTAACTGATAAAACTGAAAATAAAAATGTTCGTTGGCAAAAAAAAAAAACGCTTATTAAATGTATTTAAAGAAAATTAAAGTAAAAAAAAATATATGATTGACGACAGAAAACTTGGCCATCTCTTACAAAAAATGAAATCCTAGGAAATCAGTGTTTTGTCTGACATATATTAAAAACATATGGATGAAAAAATTGCCGCACCATATTAACACTGGCATAGCTAGCTCTGAGTGGGCCCCGTATCAAAACTCATTCGGGGCCCTTTTTACAAGCTTTTATTTAACTTGCAATGTAAAATGTTCGGGTGGAATCTTGTAACTCAATTTTGAAGCTGGTGTCTTCAACCGATTGTGCTAAAATTTAGTATACACGTTTAGTTTAGATGATAATGCAAGTTTTAACCATTTATATTCCGATATTGCAATTATTTAAAAAGATATTAATTGAAAACCTTGTACCCCTGTTAGCTTTTTATTCTCCCGAGCAGCTTATCGGATTGAGCTTAAAGAAGTTTCGATTTTTCGACCTTTTTTTCAAAAACCATTTTTTCTGTATCAAACTGAGACAAAAAAATAATTACCTAATCGGAAAGATCTTTTATTTCGCCACGATACGGTATAATTCTTTTTAAAAAATAATGATATTTTCTATTTTTACAATTTTTCTAAAAGAAGTCAAAATCGATGCGTTTTCATGAAAATGATTTCTAAATCATTCCGTATGAATTTTTTTTTTTCATAATATTGAATCGATATTCTGTACTAAGAAAGTTCTGAATTTTCTATTTTAGAATCAGTCATTAAAAAAATAAAATGCCAAATTTTTTTTTTTCAAAAAGTACTTATTTTTAATAAAACTTTTAGAAACTTCATCATTTTTAAATGTAATGCACGAAAATATTTTTTCGTTTGTAGAATAGTATTATCCAAATTTGCACAAAAATTGAAAAAATTTGGTTTAAGATTACGGATTAAAAAAATAATAAGTTTTAATGTTTTAATTAATTTTGCTTTGTCCAAATGTTGTTTTTGTCTAACAGTGTTTATCACCCCCTTCCTATTATCCTCTTATTGCGGCCCGAGTGAAATATCTATCATATATATGTGGGCACATGCGGGAAAAAAAGTTGAGTACCCCTTAGCTGGACTGTTCAAAATTAACCGGCAAATGACCTTGCAACAATGATGCTTTGAACGAGATTAACAGACTGAGAAACCTCTGTCCAGCGATAACTGAAAAGTACAAAATAAATTAAAAGTAAAAAATAAAACTTTTTTAAAAACAAGCTTTTATTTTAAATGCTCTAAAAAAATAAACTTTTTTTAAAAAACTTTTTTGCTATCAACTTATAAAGTCGTTACACAATTTATGATATAAAAGCTTGTCGCGAGATTTACCTGTGTAGATAAACAAGCAAATTAAATAACTTGATCTGATTGATTTTTAATTTTTTAAATTTTCAAACTAAGTAAATACGAGTACTTGAATCTCGCAACAAGCTTTTTTATCATAAATTGTGTAACAACTTTATAAGTTGATAGCAAAAAAGTTTTAAAAGAAAAGTTTATTTTATTCTTTTTAGAGCATTTAAATAAAAGCTTGTTTTTAAAGAAGGTTTTTTTTTTTTTAAGTTATACTTCTTTTGGGGCGTTAGAGAGAAATAGGATGAGGGTAAATTTTTACAATGCGCGCGTACACCGTCACGGATGCGAAAATCCTTTGTCTAGAAATATACAGAACAGAACACAAATCATTCCCGCCTTCGAAATTTTCAGAAAAATATTTCTATTCACTTCCCTGAAGAAATGGACACCCGGGTTTGAACCGGAGACCTCTCGTTCTGCAGCCGAATGCTCTACCACTGAGCTATACACCCGCGTCAGCGAACCTTTGCTTTTTGTTCCGTAGAAACGTATACGAAAATGCTTTGTCTAGAAATATACAGAACGGGATAGATCATTGCCGCCTTCGAAATTCTCAAAAAAATTATTTCTCTTTACTTCTCTGAAGAAGACTCCCGGGTTTGAACCGGTGACCAGTCGAATGCTCTGCCACTGAACTATACCCCTGCGTCAGCTAACCTTTGCTTTGCGTTATGTAGGAACCGATACGAAAATGCTTTGATTAGAAATATGCAGAACGGGACAGATCATTCCCGCCTTCGAATTTCTCAAAAAATATTTCTCTTCACTTCCCTGAAGAAGGGAGCATCCGGGTTTGAACCGGGGACCTCTCGATCTGCAGTCGAATGCTCACTGAGCTATACCCCCGCGTCAGCGAACCTTAGCTTTGCGTTCCGTAGGAACGGATACGAAAATGCTTTGTCTAGAAATATGCAGAACGGGACCGATCATTCCCGCCTTCGACCCCCTCCCCATATTATTGGTCCTATTGTCCCTGTGCGGGGGGGTGTTTAAATATATTTAAATCGTGATTATCTCAGGTTTGGCTGGTCCGATTGACTGAAGGTTAGTATCGTTCAATTCTGCTCGGGACCGCCTTTCGTCCTTGGTCCAGCTTGCCCTGCTAAGGATTTTTAGAAAGTTTTTAATCTTATTACGCCAAAGAAGTATAACTTACGTGCGTACATAAGTACACACACAATTTTTTACTTTTAATTTATTTAGAAAAGAAATCCCTTTTAGTGGTATTGTAGTTGCACATGTTGGGGCCCCTGTAGCTTGGGGCGTCGTATCATTGATACGGCTGATACGGTGGTAGCTACGCCCCTGCATATTAAACATGTATTGGTGGTTAGTAATGAAGATATTGATAAGTTGACGATTAAGGGCAGTAAGCGTTTTAACATTCACAAACTGAATAATATGTGTCTCATTCGAGCGTGTGGTCAAATATCTTCGTTGGGACAGCGGATTGAAGAGCTCTATTTCTTTCACTTCTCAAAGGAAAGAAGGAAGAAGTAACAGATCATTGTCCAGAGGCAGAAGTCGGAGTCATTAAAACCCTGATGGTAAACTGTGTTACCACTTTACTTTCGGTTTAAGATGTTTTTTTCCGGGAAAATGTAAGCCACCACGTAACTGGAAACTTGCCTCACAGCAGACTCAGAATTAGCGACTAATTATGCTGTTAAAGATTTACAGAATTGACGTGAATTAAATTATAGACTTTTTGCAATTGACATAAATACTGGGACCAAATTCTTGGTTGACAATGGTGTGGATGCAAGTGTAATTCCAACCACGTGTAAATGATAAAATAAGTGGTGACTTGAAAGTATGCTGCAAATGGCACTGAAATTTCATGTTTCGGACACACAATTTTAATTCTTGGTTTAGGACTTGGCCGTGATTTTCAATGGCCAAGTTACATAGTCACCCGATGAATTAAATGGAAGCACATTAAACGAAAACTATACATTTTCTAATATATTGGCACAGTGTTGGATATTATATGAGTACTAATGGTAAACAGTTTGTTCAAAAGCACAAGACAAAAGCATATTAGAAGTAGCCCCCCAAAAACTTCATACTTGGAAACGATAAAATTACCGTGGGCACGCCCACTTCATTTAGTCACAAAAACAGATGGCATTTTAAGACCATGCAGAGATCACCGCCACTATTCTGGATCACTACCACCTTGGACAGAATTGAAAGCTTTTATCATATTTTAAAAGATAAAGAGATATTTTATAAACTTGATTTCCTTATAGCCTATTACCAAATTCCAATAACAAAAGGAGATAAACAAAAAGGCCATTATAACCAATTTGGACTTTTTGAATTTAACGTAGTGAGTTTTGGCTTAACAGATGCCCCCTCCACGTTTCGAATATTTATTAATGAGGTTTTCACTGGATTAGATTTAACTCTTCCGCGTTTGGACGGCATTCTAATAGCGTTGGAAACTGAGGAACAGCATTTTACGAAAGTGTTTATTAGATTCAACAGTATGGTCTGCGCCTCAACTTATAGAAATCCCTAATGGGAGTCAATAATTAAATTATTTGAGATATTTGATAACATCAAATGGCTGAAAACCTCTTTCAGAAAAATTAAAAACCATAAAAAATTATAAACTTTGTGAAACTATTCACGAACTTCGTAAATATTAAAAAATGATTAATTTTTATGGAAGATACTTAAAATATGCAGAGCTAATACCCAAGCTCCTTTAAATATTTAAAGGGTTCAACAAAAAAAATCGAATGAAAATTCCATGGACAGAAGAAGAAAGAGATGTCCTTTCAAAAATGCAAAGATTTAGCCGGTGCTGCTCTTTAACCTTTTCTAATCTAGATCTAACTTTATGTACAGACGCATCTAATTTCGCAATCGGATCTGTTCTACAGCAGTGTAATGATGGGAGGTTGGAAATCAATAACATTTTATTCCAAAAAATTAAATGCGACTCAAAAGGCTTATAGCACATATGACCGGGAACTTTAAAGTATCTATCTTTCTATCAAACAATTTAAACATATGTCGAGTATTTACAGTATTGACACATCACAAACTAATTATATTTGCATTTAAACTGAAAAATGGTAAAGCATCACTAAGACAATTAAGACAGACCCAGTATAAATTTTTCAATTTTCAGCAAATATATGAAACGCATAACTAGAAAAGAAAATACCGTTGCTGATTCATTGTCAAGGATCAAATCTCACTGAAATAGATGACAAAATTGCAGATGCACAAATTGATAATGAAAAACTTAACAAGCGCTTGAAATCGTTAAATTTCAAACATCCTCTGGACTCGAGTAAATTGCTTTGGTGTTGTATTTTAACTTTAAAAAAAAGTAGCCGATTTGTACCTCATCCTGGTGTGAAAGCTACAGGTAAACAAATAACTCCCAGATTTGTTTGGCTTAATATTCGAAGATATCAATCAATGGGTAAAATATCCTTTGTCAAAAGAACAAATACAGAATAGATTTAGTGTTATCCATATTGAAATCGCACAACTTCTTTATCTACAGACTTCTTTTTTATTTGCGAGAAGGGGGACATATTTTAAAAAGCACGTTGGCAGAACTGCCTAGGCGTAATCATTATGCTAAACATTAAATTTTGTTAGTCTATTGGGGTTGAACTTAAGCATCATTCTTGTGTGCTCCACTAAAATTATCTGTAGGTCCGTTTCCTACTTCAGAAGGGAAAATGTATTATTTTACTTGTATTGACTTGTTGGATAGGAATTGTTCCTCTATCAAATGTGACGAACGAAACAGTCGATCAAGGTACTCTGTTTAGATCTGAGCTTTTCAAAAACAAAGGTGGTGTTATTTGTGGTTTTAAAGTTTGCGCAACAACAGCCTACCAATGGAAAAATGCAATAGAAAAGCTAAAAGAATCCATTGCCTTTGTCAGTGGTTTCAGAGTCAGTGCCGATTTAAGCTCATTTCGGGCCCTGGGTGCAGAAGATCTACAGGCTCCCTTGGCACTGGCGGATCGAAATTTATAACCAGAAAATCTGGTTAAGTCCAGATCTTCCGGTCCCCTGGGCGCCCGCCCCAAATGCTCAATGGATAAACCGGCACTGTTCAGAGTACATACAGTCACCCAAATAAGTATTGGGACACTTGCTATGCATAACTGTAAGGTCATTTATAAAAACATTTATCACATTAAAACAAAATGAATTAAGAAATATTTTAACACTTGGTGTACAGTTTACAAGGAAAATTTTATTAGTATTATAGAATTATAATTTTATCTAGCTTTTCAAATATAATTCAAAGGTACACTGGAGTCAAAAAAGTATTGGGACACCTTTGAAATGAGAAATTTAACAAATGTACAGCGCATCAATATAATTTAATTTCACACCACTTTTTTAGACTAGAAGTTTAAACAAAAGTTTCAACAAATAAGATTATTTATAGGAAAAATGGCAAGAAACCAAAATATATTGGTTGGTGTGCAAAATCCCGTAATAAGTCATTGGAAAAAAGGGAAATCAGTTCGTGGTATAGGAAAAGTCTTGAAATTGATGTCTTCTGTTTTTAACATCATTGACAGGTCCAAGAAAACAAATAGTGTTGAAAACAAGCAAAGAATCAGGGCGTCCAAAGACATTTAATGAACGTGAAGAGAGGAGGATTGTGAGACAAGTACGCATTAATCCAAGAACCTAGTGCAGTAAAAATGACTTTGCAATGTAAAATTAAGTTCGGAAAATAGGTAAATCCTGAAATTGTTAGAAATGTTTTAAGAAAACGTAAATATCATGGCAGAGTACCTCAAAGAAAGCCCTACATCAGCAAAGCAAGTAGAAAAGCTAGGTTGGCATCTGCTAAAATGTAAGGCAGCCAACAGAATATTGGGAAAATGTAATTTTTGTTGATGAAAGCAAATATAACATTTTCGGATCGGATGATAAGCAGAAAGTTTGGCGAAAATCAAATACAGTAATGCATGTCGAAAATTTACGGCCTACTATCAAATATGGAGGGGGTAACCAAATTGTCTGGGGCTGCATGGCAAGCTCTGATGTGTAGGGAATTTACATTTTATTGATGGTATAATGAATAAATGTCTATCTTGACATTCTCAAGCGAAATTTAAGGTAAAGTGTGAGCAAGCTGGGAATCTCTGGGACATTTTAATTTATACCAAGATAATGATCCGAAACATACTGCAGATATTTGCAAGTTATGGGTCCTCTACCATTGTCCTAGTGTTATTAAGACTCCTGCACTAAGTCCAGGCCTTGTTCCCATTGAAAATGTGTGGGATTATTTGCAGCAAAAACTATATGAGCACCAAATTTCTAACAAGCAGTATTTAAGAAAATATTTGGTCAAATAGTAGACCAAAATCGATAAATCGTTTTGCCAAAAAGTGATCCAATCCATGCCAAATAGTCTTCGAGAGGTCCTAAAATGCAAGGGTGTCCCAACAAGATATTAATTTCTAAGTTTGAATTGATTTTCTTAATTTATTGGAAAGTATCCCAATACTCTTTTGAGCACGATTTTTAACTCGATTTCTTTTATCATCAATTTTAACCATAATTTCATTAATGTAGGAGTTTTGTTCAAATTATTATTATTTGTATTTACCAAAATAACATTTGCTTCTTATTTTTGGTTTCATTGTATGTTTAAGTAAAATATTTCGATAAAAATCTATGAACTGGTAGTGTGCCCCAATATTTTTTTGAGTGACTGTAAATTAGTTAAATAGACGCGCCAACCATACCAACAGTGTTAGGATTACGATCAGCTCTGGGTAGTGTTACAAGTTATACCATTGCAAAAATGGTTTACGGACAAACTATCAGATTACAAGGAGAAT